ATTCATACTAAAAAATGTATTTTTGCTATTCATACTAAAAAATGTATTTTTGCTATTCATACTAAAAAATGTATTTTTGCTATTCATACTAAAAAATGTATTTTTGCTATTCATACTAAAAAATGTATTTTTGCTATTCATACTAAAAAATGTATTTTTGCTATTCATACTAAAAAATGTATTTTTGCTATTCATACTAAAAAATGTATTTTTGCTATTCATACTAAAAAATGTATTTTTGCTATTCATACTAAAAAATGTATTTTTGCTATTCATACTAAAAAATGTATTTTTGCTATTCATACTAAAAAATGTATTTTTGCTATTCATACTAAAAAATGTATTTTTGCTATTCATACTAAAAAATGTATTTTTGCTATTCATACTAAAAAATGTATTTTTGCTATTCATACTAAAAAATGTATTTTTGCTATTCATACTAAAAAATGTATTTTTGCTATTCATACTAAAAAATGTATTTTTGCTATTCATACTAAAAAATGTATTTTTGCTATTCATACTAAAAAATGTATTTTTGCTATTCATACTAAAAAATGTATTTTTGCTATTCATACTAAAAAATGTATTTTTGCTATTCATACTAAAAAATGTATTTTTGCTATTCATACTAAAAAATGTATTTTTGCTATTCATACTAAAAAATGTATTTTTGCTATTCATACTAAAAAATGTATTTTTGCTATTCATACTAAAAAATGTATTTTTGCTATTCATACTAAAAAATGTATTTTTGCTATTCATACTAAAAAATGTATTTTTGCTATTCATACTAAAAAATGTATTTTTGCTATTCATACTAAAAAATGTATTTTTGCTATTCATACTAAAAAATGTATTTTTGCTATTCATACTAAAAAATGTATTTTTGCTATTCATACTAAAAAATGTATTTTTGCTATTCATACTAAAAAATGTATTTTTGCTATTCATACTAAAAAATGTATTTTTGCTATTCATACTAAAAAATGTATTTTTGCTATTCATACTAAAAAATGTATTTTTGCTATTCATACTAAAAAATGTATTTTTGCTATTCATACTAAAAAATGTATTTTTGCTATTCATACTAAAAAATGTATTTTTGCTATTCATACTAAAAAATGTATTTTTGCTATTCATACTAAAAAATGTATTTTTGCTATTCATACTAAAAAATGTATTTTTGCTATTCATACTAAAAAATGTATTTTTGCTATTCATACTAAAAAATGTATTTTTGCTATTCATACTAAAAAATGTATTTTTGCTATTCATACTAAAAAATGTATTTTTGCTATTCATACTAAAAAATGTATTTTTGCTATTCATACTAAAAAATGTATTTTTGCTATTCATACTAAAAAATGTATTTTTGCTATTCATACTAAAAAATGTATTTTTGCTATTCATACTAAAAAATGTATTTTTGCTATTCATACTAAAAAATGTATTTTTGCTATTCATACTAAAAAATGTATTTTTGCTATTCATACTAAAAAATGTATTTTTGCTATTCATACTAAAAAATGTATTTTTGCTATTCATACTAAAAAATGTATTTTTGCTATTCATACTAAAAAATGTATTTTTGCTATTCATACTAAAAAATGTATTTTTGCTATTCATACTAAAAAATGTATTTTTGCTATTCATACTAAAAAATGTATTTTTGCTATTCATACTAAAAAATGTATTTTTGCAAGTTGTTGTAGAGCCTTATAATTGAAATCAGAAATTCATGATTGAAGCTTTGGTTCATTGTAGCATGACTTTAACAAATTATGTTCTGGTTTCATGTTTGCTTAAAGCAAATGCCAGAGTTAAAAATCACTTTATCCTCTGGGTTGTTGCCAAGAAAAAAAGGGGGACAAGAAATGGAAACAAAATCTTTATCTTATGCCTGTTTTTGGGTTTCCAAGAAATGAAAAACTTCAATCTGCCCAAGCTAATTGTTGGTCTAGGTTCACTTGACTGGGGTTATATTGTCTAGGTCGTAAGCAATAAAATTTTTAGCATTTTAGAAGTTTTAAAGCTACAGGACATATTTTATCTTAGTTTTTGTTTGTAGAATGCAAAAGATAAGTTTACCCAAATCATAAATTGTCTTCTGCAATAAACGTTTTTCTTATTCTTTCGATGTACATTTCTGCCTGTTGCAATCCCTCTTGTTTACTTTTGTTAAAATCCAACCTTATCAATTGTTTTGTTTTGTTTTGTTGTCTTTGTTATATTTATTTCTGAAATACATGAATGTGATACTGTTGGTCCATTGTAGGTACGCGTGGACCTAAAGTACCCCGTAAAAAATCAGGAAGATTGGAAGGGGCTGGAAAAAGTATGGAAGATTCTGTTCAGCGTAAGATGGAACAGTTTTATGAAGGGTCTGATGGTCCACCTCTCCGTGTCCTTCCAATTGGAGGCCTGGGTGAAATTGGGATGAATTGCATGCTTGTTGGGAATTATGATCGTTGTATTTTGATTGATGCTGGTGTTATGTTTCCGGAGTAAGTCTTCACAAACTGGTCTGATTTACATTTATTTAACAAGTTGTAGCTTGGTGATCATCATGCTTCGTTCCTGTCATCTGAAGGTTTTTGTTTTCTTGGGGTCTTACCGAAGTATATGCTCAATTGTGTAATTTCATCTGTGCTACATCTTTTCCTGCTGCTCTGGATTCTCTGCTGCAAGTAGAGGATCTAATTGTATTAATCAAATTTGCTTCATAAAATTATTTTTCCAGCGTGGAAAACTCTGGCAGGCATGAACTTTTTCTAAATGATTTTATAATTATTTGTCACCTGAAACCATGTGACAACGCTGCACATCCACACGAGCGAGCATGCAAGGCTAGAGTAAATCCAAACAATCTTGTACCACAATAATCAGGGGAATAAAATAAATATTCAATTATAAGGTTCTAAAATCCACCCAAAAAAAAAAAAAAACTACAATAAATCTTAAAAATTTAGAAACTTGCACCAAAATCCCCTAGTATTCCATTAACAAAATTTGTAATCTAAAATAAATTAAAATCAAACTCCTACACTCAGCACTCCCACAAGCAAAACCTACGCAACTCTGCTCCTCTGAATTTGACAAAACCATAATAAAAGAAGGGTGAGCTCAACAATCTAACAAATGACCAACTATCAGTACTAGTTGGATCAAGCATATAGAAAATAGTCGATAAGCAAGGAAATATTGTTTCTAACAATTCGATGAAGGAGCAATTTATTTCCAAGGTAGACACCTAGCTAAAATTAACATAGTGTAATGTCACAATTTATTTGAAAAGAAAAGTAATCCAATAAAAAGTCATTTGTTCAAGACAATGGTTTGATATCCAATAGTACAATAATTCAATAAACAAAACCCAAGTCTCAAAAGACTATGGCCACATTAGTCCGTGACAAGATCCAAAACCACACATAGGCCTTTGGTAAAAGCCCCAGTAGAAACTAGTTTTTATGCCAATAAATAACCTCCATTGGCTAGGTGTCCAAATCATAGTTAGACTGGAGTCATGTTTGCAATTCAAACAAGAAATAAAATATTCAATGTCTTTGGAATAACATTTTGATAAAATTTGTTCGAATTGTTTCACAAAATATATCTGATTTATTTGCACAATTCATATTCGATGTTATTTCATAGTTGATTCGTAATTTTCTTTAAAGAACACAAGTGAGTGATAAAATATATATTTTTCTTTTTGCAATACACGAAACATATAGGGCTTGTTTGATTTGTTTTTGGGAGAGTTGTTTTTGAAAAAAAATTTGGAGAGAGAGTTTAGAATTTTTTTTTGGTTTGTTTGCTTGTATATTTTTAAAATAGTTTTGGAGTTTGGGATGATTTGATATTTTGTTGTAATTGAGTAGATGTGTGTGAGAGAAAAAGTGATTGAGAAGGAGAGAGGAGAGATAAAAAGTGATTGATTGATGTGTAAGAGAGAGAGTGATTTTGGAAATTTTTTGAGAAAAATCACAAACCAAACAAAATTTTCAATTTTTTTTTTTCAAAAACAACTCTCCCAAAAACAAACCAAACAAGCCCATAATTTTTAAATGATACAATAGGAATGAAAACAAACCAATGGTGATAGAGGGTTATTAAACCTCAAACGATAAAAGAATATTTCAAAATCTAACTCCAAAATACCAAGATCCACTTCAATCACGCAATCCTAATAAATATTACACCACATAAGTAAATATAATTATCATCTTATTTAACTCCCATTAATTAAACCATAGTACTGTAATTCTAAAATAACCAGTCACCACCCTTGATATGAATTCTAGAATCATTCAATAGTTTCATTCGGCAACTGCAATCTCCATTCAATTGTTTCTTTTTTTAACCATCCTAAATTCCACTGAATAGTTTATATTGTCAACCCTATCTAATGGACCCTCATGCTGACCACTACTCATGGTTCAATTCACCCCCAAAATCCAAATACAAATTAAATTCATGAGTGAAATCCAAGATTCATGCATAGGGAACTTTACCTTAAATTAAAATCAACTCAACTTCAAGTATTCCATAAAATTTTATGAATATTATTCTCAATGAAACGCTAGGTCTACATATTCCATGTACTCATGATTACAACATGGAGAAGTTGAGAGTCTAAGGTTTACCTTCAAATGATTTTAGCATTAATTGATTCCTTGAATCGCTTCGTTTTTATGGCCTCCTTCAATAGAATATGTAAAAGTGGAGAATGTAAATATGATGTCTTATATGTATAAACTAGGAGGGTTTTCTTATATCTATCTCTTTTCTTCATAAATCTTCAAAAATTATCTTATTTGCTAAGAGGAGGCCCCTCCACAAAAAATAATATATAACCTCAATATAACCATAATGAACCCTTTTTTGGATATAAAATTGTTAGTACTAGTGAGATTTTCTAATGTTATTATTGCTTATTTAGATTCCTCCCCTTCTTTTTGATACACCGACTTTTGATCACATGTGGACACGTATTTCAGCTATGATGAGCTTGGTGTCCAGAAAATTATACCTGATACCACCTTTATAAGAAAATGGAGTCACAAAATTGAAGCAGCTGTCATAACACACGGTCACGAGGATCACATTGGTGCGTTGCCTTGGGTAAATTTTCTTTTCTACCACTTTATTATGTTGGCAATGCATTAAACGTTTGTGCATAATACATTGTGTTTTTCTTGGATTATTAGATGTTGAAGACACTGATTCACTTGTGTTTTGAATAGAGAAGTTGAGAATACACCATTCAAGGGGTTCATATATTAATTACTTGCTACATTGATGATTTATTTGATGGGGTCAAAAAACAATCTGTGAAAAGTACCTATATGATCATTAGCTGCTCTATATTTTGATGCAGAACTCAATGAGTTTTGATGTAGGATGACATTACAGTGAAGCAAATAGCTGATAACTATCCATTAGTATGTTCACCACATATACAAGTTCAGTTGGCAGACAAAGCATTTTGTTCCTTGTTTCCATGTAGTGCAACTGAATGTTAAATTTTTGCTAGAGAAATCATTAGTAATCAAAAAGTAACATTGATTCTCTAAGAAATATATTTAATTTTGATCCACTTTAACATTCATAACAAGTTTTGATAGTGTTGTTGGCAAATAAATATTTTGTAGGGTAGTTGAACTAAGTTTTAGGTTGAACAACCTTTCATATTAAGTGTGTGCACCACATGTATAATTTAGATGGACAAACGAAAAAAGCATTTCATTACCACCAAGGGTGGTAGCCTAATGGATGGGAGATCACTCCCACTGGTTTTGGTGAGCATGTTGCTCTGGGTTTAAATATTCGCAGGTATAATGTGATTCTCATCCTCCTTCGCTCTGTGCTTCGACTCTCTAGGACCCTAGTGGGGCTATGAGTTAGGCTATGTCTCACCCCTCTTGGTAGGGTCCCCAGCGGGTAGGTGGTCCTATGGTCCTCTAGGTTGGTCGCTCCTTCTTTCCTTCTTGAATCAAGCAAATAAATTTCATTTCTTTGTTTCCATACCAATGTTATTAAAAGCGCACCTAGGCACAAGGCCCAGCCATGCCCACCCCCTGCGCCTTGCAATGGTCAAGGCGAGGCGACTTCACTAAGGCGCGATTAAAGCATGCGATTGGAACAAGGCGCGATTAAGCCCAAGGCGCAGGCCTTGAGTTTTTTTTTTGTTTTTTATATTTGAATTGGACCATTGAAATTACTTGGGTCAACTACAGCATATCATATCCTTCAAATATACATGCTAATATTGTCGATTTAGCCCCAAATCAACAAACGACAGAAGAAAAAACAAGCCCTAATCCAAAGCTCCAAAAAAATCGAACTCGTCATCCAGTCCAGGAGCTTTGAATGTGCATGTATGTCTATCTTCTCTTTGTTTTTGTCTGTTCTTCCCCTTCTCTTTGTCTGTTCTTCTCTTCGTCTCTTCTCTTCTATTCGTTAGTCGTCGTCTTCTTCTTCTTCTTCTCTTCCCTATGCTACCTTCATCTTATTTTTCGTTTATTTTCTGGAATGCTCTATTTTTGTTTATGGAGTTAGGCTGAGCTGAGATTTTTAGGACTTCAAATGTACTATGTTGTCTTCTTCTTCTTCTTCTTCTTCTTCTTCTTCTTCTCTGCTTTTCTGTTTTTTTTTTAATTTATTTTATTTTCTTCTCGACTTTTCTTCTTTGGACTGCTCTGTTTATTAAATATTTATTCTGAATTGCTCTATTTCTTCTCTACTTTTATGATTTAGCTGACCTTTAGATCATGAATATTCGTGTTTTATATTGAACTTTGGAATATTACTCATTTGTCTATGTTAAAATAGCGATATTTGTTGGTATTTATTTTTTAAAATGTTCAGTGTTTCATTTTGTTTATGTTATACCAGTTAGTTATTTGCTTGCATGCCTCATTAAATTATATTATTTCAACCTGCTATGGTGCACCTTACTTTGATGAAGCCTGTGCCTCGCGTTGCACCTTGTGCCTTGTGTCTAAGGCCTCAAGAGACCTTGGGGCGCTTATTTCTTTTAATAACACTGTTCCATACACTGCAATTGAATGTTCAAGTTTGGGGTTTAGGGTTGGGGTTTTAGGAGTTTACGGGTTGGGGTTTTTGGATTTAGGGTATAAGGTTTCGGAGTTTAGGGATTAGGATTTGGGGTTTGGGTTTAGTGGTTAGGGTTTTGGGATTAGGGGTTAGGGTTTAGGGTTAGGGCGGTTTGGGGTTTGGGGTTAGGTTTGGGGATTTAGGGTTTATGGTTTGGGGTTTTGGGTTTTGGGGTTTTATGTTTCGGGTTTAAGGGTTTTGAAACCCTAAATCGTAAATCCTAAGGTGCCGTTTGGTAACACTAACGTTTTCAGTTTTCTGTTTATATTTACAAAAATTTAAAAAACTCAAATAAAAACTTGTTTGATAAAATTTTTGATCTATAAATCAGTGGTCTCAGTTTATAAATTTGGCCAAAAAATGAAAACACAAAAAATGTGTTTTCGTTTTGAGTTTTAGTTTTTTTTTTTTTTTTTTTTACCACTCAACACTAGCCACCACCTGCTACCATTTTTCACCATCGTCTTCCACCGCCACCACCACACCACCACCACCACCACCACTGCCACCACCACTCGCCACCCACCTGTCACCACCACCACCACCCCAGCCACCACCCCACTCGCCACCACCACCCACTCCTCGCCACCACACCACCCACCACCACCATCAACCCACCTGCCATCTACCTGTCTACCCACTTGCCACTAC